CAATCTTTTTTTTTTTTTTTTTTTTTTTTTTTTTTTAATCTGTAGTCATTTACTTATCAAAGTAAACATCAGAAACAGCTTGTATAAAAGTTTGTTTTCTGAGAGAACCTGAACTAAAACAAAGACCCAAGACATGTGCTCCTGTCGTGTGACTCTTCCTGGGGAGATGTGAAAAAATGTCTATTTACCCTAGGTAGGACACCATGACGGACCAAAGAAATGAACTTGCCCAAGTCTAGCTTGGTGAACACAGGGTTACATAGAAGTGTATGCGTGACACAAAGGCAGTTGCATCACTGAAAAGCCTACTCTAAATTGTGTAGGCTTTTTGCACCCCTGGAGCTTACTGTCCAGTTTGCAGGCAGTTGCACAGAGGTCCCCCTCCCAACTGCTGACAAGTTTATATAATCTTATGGAGGGGCTTTGTGAATCTTGTTTATTTTGTGAGCTTTCTGAGCCTCCTTAGTTTCACCAGCTTCCTGAGCCTCACAGGAAGACTGTTTCAATGTAGAGGAAAGAACTACAAAATGCCCAAAACAAGGGGGCAGATGGAGATCTTGTATATTGAAGACTTGGAGTCTAGTTGAAATTTGGATTACAGTGGGAAGCTGGTGTTCCCAGATGAAACTGAGACTCAGATCTCAAACTCAATGCTCCTCAAACCCAATGCTTTATTTAAAAAGGTCATGTGACCTGGTATAGTGGCACATATCTTTAGTCCCAGTACTCAGAAGGCAGAGGCAGGCGGATCTCTGTGAGATTGAGGCCAGTCTGGTCTACGTAGTGAGTTCTAGGCCAGCTGAGGCTATAGGGAGACTCTGTCTCAAAAAAAAAGATTAAAAAATTAAATAAAAAGGGCTGAACAGGCAGTAGTATGGCATTTGCTGGGCTTGGCTTGCTTAATGAAGTGGCCAGATAATGGTGGTAGTCTGAAGGAGCCATGCAGACCTCCCATTAGCTTTCTATCCCACTTATCCTCAGAAGCTGGAAGCATTCCTTCCTTCATTCTTTCTGACTCTTCAGGGTAAGGGTAACCAAGTGTGTGCTTATTTCTGAAAATAATCAATGGCTCGTGGTTTGCACTGATGAAGGACACAAAGGGGAAAAACCACCATTTGACATGATTGTCCACTAAAAATACCAGTGTAGGGATAGATTTGCAGACTAGAGTCAACTGCCAGGGACTTTTAAAGAGTTCCTAGGGACATAGCAAGGTCCTGACTTCCATGTTGGAGTTTCTGGGCAGGATGCTGGGATCAATTCATCCTCACATCTTCCCAGCAGAAAACCGTGCTACCAATTAGCCACTGTAAACGTTTATTTCCAAAACCTAGAAGGCTTTTGCCCAGAGAGATCATGATTCACAGCACTGATCTCCCTTTTTTCAAAAGGCTCTCTCCTGAAAAACCTGGAAAGTTTAAATACCCTGAAGGTTAAAGGAAAGGACAAATGGTATTTCACAAGTAAAAAAACATCACTAGTAGGGACATACTGCGTTCTCAAGTCACAAATACACAAATCAAACTTTTTTTGGAGGGGTCTTTTTGAGACAGGGTCTCCCTGTAGCCCCAGCTGTCCTGGAACTCACTATGTAGACCAGGCTGGCCTTGAACTCACAGAGATATGCCTGCCTCTGCCTCCTGAGTGCTGGGATTAAAGGTGTGCGCCACCACACCCAGTGAAATTTTAGTTTTTTAATATTTACAAAACAAAAAAATTACAGCATGCAGAAATATTTTTAAAATGGCCGCCATTCCTGGGTTTGTATAAGGCTGCTTCTTTAACCTTCTTCCTTTCCAATGCTGATTTTTTTTTTTTTTTTTTTTTTGTGACTACATCCTATTTCCTTTCCCTGCCAAAGCTGAGTCCTGTCCCTCTAATGTCCTTCAGACAAGCTGATCTTTAGTCAGGAACATCACTGAACTGTAAGGGTTGCATTGCACCTGACAGGCTTTAGTAATCGTCCTGCTGCTAACAAAACCTCACTTGACCAACTCACGCTTTGTGGATACAGGTGCTGGATTTGTGATGCTTTCCAATCGGTCTACATTCTGACAAGTTCTAGCTTCCAAAGCCAACCAAGGCTTCTTCTTGGTAGCAGTTATTTCAGTTTTAGCCCAACTTTCTGTTAAGGTTTCAATCAACAACATTTAATATCTCTAAGGGGATTCTACTTCCACGGGAAAGACAGGAAGCCCCATTAGACAGCTTACTAAGCACCAAGGAAAGATTCTTTAATTCATACAAAACATGACTTTTAGTATAAAAGCATTAGGTTCTTAATCTAGTTCACATTTATGTCCACACAGAACTATATCAAAAGTACTATTCTACCTAATAAAATTGAGCAGACCTATAAACAGGGATTGAATTACATTATTGCATTTCAACTATAAATATGTAAAAAAGTAATTTATAATTCTGGGAGGTAGTGCTGGGGATTAACCTCACAGAGCTACATCCACAGCCCAATTTATAACTTTGATGATCTGCACTTAGGGAAATACCCGAACTAAGGTTACTAAAGCTGTTCTACACGGACTAGGACTGCTTGGACCAGTTGCATGTCCACAGCATTGAGAGAAGTAGTGACTGCTCTACATTAGCTGTCAGAGGCCAAAGGGCAATTTAAGTCTACCACTCTGAGACTGTATGTTAGAATTTAGTTATGCTGGGCGTGGTGGTGCATGCCTGTAGTCCCAGCACTTGGAAGGCAGAGGCAGGCAGATCTCTGTGAGTTCCAGGCCAGCCTGGTCTACATAGTGAGTTCCAGGACAGCTGGGGCTATAGGAAAACCCTGCTTCAAAAAGACCAAAAACAAAAAACAAAAAACAAAAAATCTTATTTAACTTTCTTTTAATCATTAAAATTTTTTCTTCTTTACAGGGCACCTTCTCAAACATGTTTTTCCTTTATAAAGCCACCATAACATGCATAGAGTCATCCTATCTCCTACAAATTTTGAAAGATAGCAAAAGTACCTTAAATGGTCTGAAGAGCAGATAGAGCTCCCGAGGTTTGATGTCCAGGGGCAGGCCACTGACAAACAAGGTCCGGACCTAGAAAAAAAAAGTGGAAGTGGTGAACAAGGGCATGGACAGTCCAGGATTCATTCTCATCTGACATCTCAAAAGACATCCTTCTCCAAACATCGATGACTCCTCTAACAAATCATGCTCTTTCTACGACACAATGAATGGAAGCCCTATGGAATTTGAATATTTTTAAATGACAGCAAATTTACTACTCTTCTGCCTTATCATAACTATCTAATAGTCTTAAAAAAGAAAACTGAAGTAATTTTGGTTTCTCCTGCTTCTTATTGCTACCTCAATGGTGTTGGTTACCATAATTTTTATTATTGTAAAAGTATAGCAACTAGGTCAAATACACCTAAATATGGACACACCCTACATGTTTATCGTCTACTAAGATCAACAACACAGACCATGTGCTTCTGACTGAAAATCAGAGAAGGCATATTAGTATCTCAATGAGAGCTTAAGAGGATTGGTAGGATTTTACCAGAGAGATGAGGCTGAAGTGCGGTGGTAAGCATCACAGAAAAGAACTCAGCAAGGCAGTGCTGTGCAGGACCGCACAGAGAACTCTGGGGGCAGAGTGGGCCAGACTAAACAAGGAACTTAGGGTCAAACCACAGGGCACATCAAAAGCTACTGGCTAAGGAATCTGATCCGGACTCAAGAGGCAAGAAAGGATAGCTACCAACTGAGGGTTACCTCGCTTTATGTTCCTTTTACCCTATTCAGACTGACAAGCATGATGGAGTTCCTTATTAGGAATTTGTGTTCTTATTTACACAATGTTCAACTGTTAACCAGGTATGAATGTTCTCTGATGACAAATAGGGAGACTATTTCTTAGATTGCTAACACTTTCCATTAGTTTTAACATCAGCAAGCTCCTTTCTCTGGCCCAGCACAGGACACAGTACAGTATCAGGCCATTCGTATGTTAGTGTTTCATAAATGTTGTTATAACAGTCTCAAAATTCTTGGTTTTAGCACCTATGCTAAGGTATAGAAGATATACAATACAATAAACTATAAAGTATACAATTTGTTAAGTTTTTTTTTTTTTTTTGTCTTTTTAAGACAGGAGGTGGTGGAGGGGAGGAGGGAGTGGGCATGGATTTGATCAAAACACCTTATATGCATGTATGAAATTCTCAATTTTTTTTAAAGTTAAAAAAATTATAAAATGCACAAAAATTCAATAAAAATACACTGAAAAAACAAAACAAAACAAAATAACAACAGCAAGAAGACAGGGTCTCTCTGTAGCCCCAACTGACCTTGAACTCACAGAGATCTGACTGCCTCTGCCTCTGCCCCAACCTTAAAACAGAGGATCTGCTTATTGTGTGGTTTCTATTCAGATCTTTTAATCCAGTCAGTATGTAGTAGTGTTGGGGATACAGTGTACGGGTACACACAGTCCACATGAGAAGTAGAATTCATTCTCCTGCCCAGGTTGTCTAGAACAGCCTAGGTGGACTACACTAGGGGAAGGGAATGGTGGGTGGGCACACTGGATAGCAAGATTCTTCTGATTTCCTAAAGACAAACAGATAATAAATCAAATCAATTCTCAACAAAACCTTAAGTGTCTCAGCCAGGCACTGCGGTGCCTTCGTTTATTATATGGAAAAAACTTCAGGTGCATATTCTAGAATGAGATGTGAAATCTACTGACACCAAAAGGCTCAAAGCCAACACTTACTTGTCCACCAAACTGAAGTCAAGTATTTCATTTAAACAGAAAAACATTTCCTACAATGTAGCAAAACTTACTGCCTCAGAAACCTATCAAAATGTCTCATCTCTCTCATTAGACGTATTTTCTCTTATGACAGAAGGGATACTAACAAAATGAAATAATTCTTGAATATTTACATTATGTACTGCCATCCAACTAAAGGGTGCATACATTCAAGGGCATGTTGTGTGTTTAGAATCCTTTCTACTCTACCGCAGTCTTAAGTAAACTTAACCAGTCAGGTTGAAAAAGAAAAAGTAAAGAAAACCCAGATAATGAGTGGAAAGATAACTGTCTAAGCTGTGCTTTTCCAAATCACAAGGATTTAAAACGCTTCCCTTCCTCAGCTCATCACTACTCTTTTCATCTGGGTCAGCACAAAGCAATGAACTATGGGTTTTATCTTTTCTAAATCTGTGGAAATCAGGAAAATGAGACAGGATTCTTGCCTGTAAGGAGCTTACTGTCATAAAAGAAACTCAACAAGCAACCATCTATAGTAATAGAAAACTTAGCTTAGTCACTGACAGCCCAGTTAGAATTCAGTGTATTCTCCCCAAACCAGCTCCCCCCTCACACAAATGAATGAATAATGCCAAATGAACTTTGGAGTAGGTTAAATCATGATCAAGGGCAGCCCTTAATTTACCAGCCATGTCTATGGACACAGATAGGCTTGGCACCGTGCCTTTAACATCCACAGATGTTCAATTTATTAAACACATAGGTCGAGGCTAGAGTCACACTTGGGTACTGGAGCTGCCTTGGTGTGCTCGAGTCCTTGAGGATAACTGGTGACCTTATTCACCGGCTGTGGGCCTCACAGCACAGTCAAGTCACCAGGTTAGTGACATGGGCATCAGATTAAAAAAAAAAAAAAAAACACAAAAAACCCCCCAAAACAGGAAAGATACACAAATTAGGGACAGAAGCATTCATGCATTTACAAAAGAAA